GTAATCCCAGCACTTTGGGAGGCCGAGGCAGGTGGATCATCTGAGGTCGGGAGTTCAAGATCAGCCTGACCAACATGGAGAAATCCCGTCTCTACTAAAAATACAAAATTAGTGGGGTGTGGTGGCGCATGCCTGTAATCCCAGCTACTCGGGAGGCTGAGGCAGGAGAATCGCTTGAACCTAGGAAGCAGAGGTTGTGGTGAGCTGAGATAGGGCTATTGCACGCTAGCCTGGGCAATGAGAGCAAAACTCTGTCTCAAAAAAAAAAAAAAAAAAAAAAAAAAATGCATTTAAGCATAAAGCGTTCACTCAGGAACAGCCCAGCAATGTCCTGACAAAATTTCAATGGTGGACATGCACTTTAATCTGTGGTGGCCCTCACCACATGGGGTTGTGCTCAGCACTTGAAAGGATAACCCGTAACAGGACAGCAAGAGACATCCACTCTAACCAAGTCAATAAAGGGCCTGCTCAGCTCACAAACTAGGTTTCCAGGAAAGCAGCCAGTACCTCACAACCGACTTTCAGGCAGGCATTTCAGTGTCACTGGTGAGTCACCAGTTGGGTCAGCCAGTTGAATTTTAAAGGGGCATGGTTCCCTTGCTAAGGGCCAGTAAGGACACAGTGCCCTCTGCTGGCAAGGGAGAAGCCTACTCACAAACATGGGGACACGGTACCCCTATGATCACATAGGTCACTTTTACTAAGTGGCAGGCCAAGCCACCCTGGGGAACTGCACTAACCTGGGTGTGGGCAATGACACGGATGACTTGGCAGTACTTTTTCATGCTGCTGAAGTCCTTCTCCAGCTGCTTCTTGCCATCCTCATCCTGCCATTTCTTGCAGTACTTGGTAAAGGCCTTCTTCTTAGATTTATGCCTTCAGGAGCAGAGCAGAGTTGGGGAGGGGGCCGGGTGCAGGCCTTCATCACCCCTCCGAGGGGTGAGCGGAAGACACACTGGCACCGCGTGGGGATGGGGCTCATTGCCGGCTTCTAAGGAGCCTTTTCCACCGGCAAGCGGAGCCTGGATGGAGCTCATCGGGCAGAGCCGAGCGGAGCTGAGCAGAGGTCCACAAGGTTAACTTAAGTTACAAACATTCAAACAAAATTCTTGCTCCGGGGTGCTAGAAAGCAAGCGCTCTGCCTTGGGGGAGCACCCATTCAGTGATGGAGGAAATGGGACATTCCAGCCAGGGCCAGAGGCCCTTGCCAGCCCTATAGGGGTTGAATTATCCTGCTACCTCTCAAGGTTTCTAGTTGGACTCCTTAACCAACTGGGTCCTCAGCCACCACCCACTAGCCTGGACTCAGAATGAGGGTGTCAGCTCCCAACTGAAGCCCAATGGCTGGCCAAAGTCTGATCGCAGGTATTTTTCTGTTCAAGAGACAAACTAAACCCGAGACAGCAGCTCCCTGCCTGCTACAGAGCTGAGAAACCATGCACACTGTTCCCTGCTCTCCAGCTCCCAAGCTAGGGACTACAGGGCCTCCTCCCTCACCAGTTCTTATAGAAACGCCTCTTGCATTCATCACTGATGTGCTCAGCGAAGACAGTCTTGAAGGTCCGGAGGCCTCGAGGGGTTTCCACGTAGCCCACAATGCCCACAACCACCATGGGTGGCGTCTCCACAATGGTTACAGCCTCCACCACCTCCTTCTTGTTCACCTCTGCAAAGAAAGCAGTAGTCAGACTTGGCAGGAGCCCAAGCAAGGGGTGTAATGTTTTCTAGGAAAATGCAAAATGCCCATTTAGGTCGGAAGGGCAACTGGGCCCCACACCTGTAGTCTGGACACTCAGGGCTGTCCTTACTACCTACTTCTCATTCAAAGTGCATTTATGTTCTTTAACTTAAAAAATATCAGGACCCTAGATAACCAAATACCTGTCCAGCTTCAATTCTCTTCTACAGAAACCTCTGGAGGCAGACAAGATTTGCTATTTATCTGGAAAATTCAAGTGTCCTAAATATAACTGGGACACAGAAATAGCTCTGAGCTCAGTTTAGAGTCAATATCAACTGTCTAACGTTAATGTCTCCATGGCTCAGCAACCAGTGCTGTTAGACATCTCTAAGTAGAAAACACACAGGTAAGTGGCCGTTATTCAAGCTTTTAGATGAAATGCACGTGAACAAGTAAAACATGAATGAGGCACTTCTTATTCCAGCCTCAGCAGCTCCAACCCCCCATACTAGTGTTACTTCTCTTTGCTAAGGCTCCTGGCAAATTTACTATGCTCTGAAAGCAATACCCCACCCCGCACCTAAAGCCAACAGTGCCGGCCATCTGTAGCCTTGGAATATTAGTCTTGAAGTTGTCCGCTGTCACAGCAGTTCTGACAACCTGTAACTCCAGCTTAAAAAAAAAAGTCTGCCCTCTGCTAACAGCTTGACTCCATCTCGCCAGTTTCCCTCCCCCTCCACTCCTATCCCCCAACTTTTAGGAGACCTGTACATACTAGATCCTGGCCTGTCGACTTCCCGCACGATGTGGGTCATGCCAGCCTTGTATCCCAGGAAGGCTGTGAGGTGGACCGGCTTAGACGGATCATCTTTAGGGAAGCTCTTAACCTTCCCGCGATGCCTGCTGCTGCGCTTCCGAGGCAGGAAGCCGAGGGACCCATGTCTGGGAGCGGAGAACTTTCTGTGAGACTAGGGGAAAAAAAAAATCACCGTCAGCACCAGACACCCAGGAAACCAAGTAAAAAGGTAATTATCTCTTCCAGGCTCCCACACGTCAATATTTTTGTATTCGACAAAATTTAAGCTGAATCTTATTTCAAATCCTCTCAACCTGTAAGAAAACGAGCCATCCGTTTTTTTCTCTACCACCACACAAAAATACACTAAGTAGTGACACTAAAAACTGCTTAACAGGCAGCTTTATGTGCCAATTAGCAAGGTTTTGACCACTAAAGAAAAGCACTCCAGGGACAAATGCTGGGTAGCAGCTAGCCAATACTACGCTATGGGCTGCCTCTAGCGCCCGGACACTAATTACACCGACACACGTAGGCCGGAGAACTCGGCAGAGCCAAATCAGAACATGACAATCAGCACACAGTTTCTGTCCGCCCGTCAATAAGTTCATCATCTGTGGCTTCTGGGAGCTCCAGAGGCCTTCGGAGTGCACAAGCGGTCCCAGATATTTCAGGAGGACTCCACAACATTCTCCTCCCGCAAGCTTACCTCCCAATGAGAACAGTGCCGAGAACCCCCACCCAAGGTCCTGCTATCCAGACAAGCTGCTTAAAGGCCCTAATCCCAACTAATGATGGAGTTGGTGAGATCAAAACTCAGCAATGACTCATGGCTTTAAAAATGCCGGGCCTCCAAGCCTGCTCCCACCCTTACGGCCTGTCTCTGGCCGACCTGCAGGCCCAAAGCCAGTCCTCCAAGCGCTCTTCTACACAAGCCTCTCGACTTTCCAGAAAATAGGCCTGACTGAGGCCCCCGCTGGGTCGCCTGTGCTCCTAGAGCAAGCCCCCGGCGCCGGCCAAGCTGGGATGGCGGCGATGCGTCCCGGATCCAGCCGTGCCGACGCCGGTGACAATGAATCGGACGCCATTACAATACATACCATCACGCCATCAAATCCCGCCGGTAGAGGTCGGCTTGTTGTCGGTGTCCGCTATATAAAGTCAAATCTGGCTCCGCCCCTTCCGGCGTGCGAGCGCGCCCCCGCGGCAGACGTCGGGTCGGGGGGCACGTACCGAGCGCCATTTCTACGCATGCTCTTCCGCGCCTAACTTTCATTCCGAGGTGGACGTCAGCTTCTGAGACCGAAATTAGACACTCTACGGCGAGGGGTCGGGTTCAAACTTAATGAAAAGCCACGGAGGCGCGGGCTGAGGGTGTGGTGTGCCACAAGTCTACGGCGTCCGGCAGCAGCCAAACTTGATAATAATGAAGAAAAATGGCTGCGTCGCTTTTCTTCCTGTGATATGCAGCTATCTCTGGAATTGGCGAGGAAAGACTGAAACCCTTGTTTCCTGGCTCCCACGCTGGTTTTGCCGCGACACCAACTTGCCTTTAATACCTTTAATCTCGGGCATCCTTCCCTCAAGCCCTGTCTCTACCATTTCTCCCATGCTAATGCAGTGGCCTGCACTTGATTCTGAGTGTCTCAGGAGCGTCCCAAGCCTGCGGAACGGCCTCACGACCTCGGGTCATGCCGAGTCCAGCTGCCCAGCCTCCCTGAGCCCCACGCCTTCCAGACCTCTGCATCAACGAGGACTTTCGCTGATCTCCGCTTGGGCTCCAGGGTAACTCGGGTCCTGACCAATTCCCTGCCTACAGGCTCCTCCCTTACGAATTTTTTTTTTTTTTTTTTTTTGAAACGGTGTCTCGCTCTGTCGCGCAGGCTGGAGTGCAGTGGCGCGATCTCGGTTCACTGCAACCTCCGCTTCCGGGGTCACGGTTCAAGCAGTTCTCTTGCCTCAGCCTCCCGAGTAGCTGGGATTACAGGAATGCGTCCGGCTAATTTTTTTTTTTTTTTTTTTTTTTTTTTTTTTTTTTTTGGGGCAACTGGGCCTCAGCTGACCTGCAGTCTGACACCAGGGCTGTCTCTTACTACTTCCATTTCATTCAAAGTGCATTTATGTTGCAACTAAAAACATCAGACCCTAGATGGCCCGAATACTTGCCTGAAGCTTCTCAATTCTTCTTTCTCTACAGAAACTCTTCTGGAGACAAGATTTGCTATTTATCTGAATATATTCTAACATAATTGGGAGACAGAAATAGTTTGAGTTTCAATGAGTCAATATCAATTGCTCCATCGCACACGCCAGCACTCCAGTGCTGTTAGATTATTTGGGTAGAAAATTACACAGGTAAGTGGCCGTTATTCAAAGCTTAGATGAAGGTACGTAGCTCCAGCAAAACACGAACGGCGCACTTCTCCAAGCCTGAAGAATTAACCCCATTGGTACTCAGTGCTTACTTCTCTTGCTATATTCTCCCGGCGTGGGCCCTTACCATGCCTGAAAGCAATATCTGGCTCCTCCGCACTTCCCAGCCGGTCGAAGCGGCATTTGCCGGGCGCGTTGATTCAGCCTGAACATCAGTCTCGAAGTTGTTCACACCAGAGTTCGACAACCTGACTCAGCTGGCGTGGTCGCTTTCGCCATGACGCCTCTGCCCCTCCACGCTCCTCAATGAGGCTCAGATATCTGTTTCACGATTGGCATGGGTCATGCCAGCCTGTACCCAGAGCTGCCGCAGGTGACCGCCAGACGCGGATCATCTTGTGAAGCTTCTGGTCCCTTCCTGTGCTGGCCAGCAAGCTTTCCTCCGAGGCAGGAAAGCCGAGGACTCCATGGAGCCCGGGGAGCTTTATATCTCTTCTTGTGAGATTAGGAAAAAACAAGTCAGCGATTGAGACACTCAGGAAAAACCAAGTAAAAGGTAAATTGAGCCCAGGCTTCGCGTCAAACATTTTAGAGATCTCGAATAAAATTTGGAAGCCGGTCTGCAAATCCTCCAACCCGGTAAGAAAATCATCGCTTTTTCTTCCACACTGGCCGGCGTAAAAACACCCGGCAGCGACACTGCAAACTGTTAACGGCGCGATGCAAGCCACCAGCAGGCCTGACCGACCAGGATAACGCCGCAGCACACAGGCCGCACTTAGCTGCCGACATTAATACACGACGACGACGCAGGCTCGAGAATCGCCGCAGAGCTGTCAGAACATGACGGTCAGCACACAGCCACCGTCATTGCTCATCACCCGTGCTTCGGGAGTTCCAGATAGCCTTCCGAGCATCAAGCGTCCTGCATGCTGCGAGACTCACGCTCTTCTTCTCAAGAAGCTGAGCCTTCCCACGAGAACAGCAAGCGAAATAATTCAAGCGTCCTCCTGATCCAACAAGCCGTTTGTGCTGCGCTCCTACTAACCAACGATGGAGTTGCGAGATCGAACTCGGCAATGACCTCATGGCTTTAAAAATGAGCCGCCTCCAGCCTGCCCTCACCTCCTACAAGCCTGGGTCTCGGTCGACTAGCAGGTTCGGTGCCGTGTACTCAGGCTAAGCCTTTCCAAAGTCGCAACATCTGACCGAGTTCCCAGCCGGGTCTGCTTCCTTTCTTAGGAGCAGGCGATGCCGCATGCCGGGGTGCTGGGGATGGCGCAAAGGGCGGCGGCTCCCGATCTGGGCCGACGGCTGGGTGACACGAATCGACCCGCCATTAATACAATATCACCCGCCAATAAATTCGCCGGCCGGAAGATCGCCGGATTTTCAGAGCCGGGTGTCCTATAATTGAGTCAAATATTCACCACGCTTCTTTTCCTCGGGCGCGGAAGCTGATTACGTGATCGCCGGTCAAGCACGGAAACAGCCATTTCACGCCAGGCTGCTTTTCCCACGCTTTCTGCCTTCTGGAGGGGTGGATCTGTTGCTGGAGACCGAATCAGGACGATTTCTCTGTTCAGTAGGGGTCGGGTTCAACCAGAGCCACGAGCGGTGCGCGTGGCCGAGGCGGTTTGCGTCACCTGGAAGGAAGCGTTCCAGCAGCCGTATCCCCGATGTAATACGAAAGAAAAATGGCTGCCGCTTTTCTTTCCTGTGATATGCAGTCTCACTGGCGAGGAAAATGAAACCTCGCCTCGGCCCCGCTGGCTTGCTGTCAGCTGGACATCAATCCCGCCTTATCACGATCACCTTCAGTTTCTCCTGTTCTTACTACTTTTCTTCTCCCGATGTTGACCGCAGCAGCTCCGCACTTGATTCTGAGAGTCTCGTGAGTCTCAAGCTGGTGGAATGCCCCACCATGCCGGAAGTCCACCTTCCTGAGCTCCACGCTCAGACCTCGTGAGTCAATCCAGACTGCTACCGCTAAGCTCCAGGGTCCTCGGTCCCGGACTGATTCTGCGCTCACAGGTTCCTTCCTCATTTTAATCTTTTGAAAACTGGTATCCGTGCTAAGCCGGGAGGCACATGATCCGTTCACTGAGAACCTCTCAAGTTTCGTTCGAGCCGTTCGGCTTGTAGCTCAGCTCCTCCTCGAGTAGCCGGGATTGCACGGGGCACCTGCCACATTTAAGACGGATTACCATGCAAGGACCTGATCCGCCGCCTCAAGTGCTGACAGCGCAGTTGACGTCAAAAGCCTTGCCAGTCTTTCTAAGAATTTCCGCATCCGTTACTAGGCGATTCGTCAGCTGAATTAAGCATCACCAGATCATGAAGACGCCTAACAGTCATTTGTTTCTCGATGGCTGAATACACATGCTTCATATCTTCTGTTTCTTTCACTTGCACACTTATTTATGATCTGGCCTGGTTTAAAACATTCGCCATAATCCCAACACCTGGGAGGCTGGGAGGTAGGGCGGATCACCCGAGGTCAGGAGTTCTAAAACCAGCCTGGCTAACCTCGGCGAAAAATTCAGCTCACTGCACTATAGGATGAGGCTTGAATGGCGGCATGCCTAGTCCCAGCCACTTGGGAGGCTGAGGCGGAGAATCGCTTGAACCCAGGAGGCGGAGGTTGCAGGAAGCTGAGATTGCCAGTGCATTCCAAGGGGCTACAGAGTGACTCCATCTCTAAAAAAAAAAAAAAAAAAACATCTTCAATCTTTCGTTGATACTGATTAAAGGAATGATGGGTCTGACAGATCTTTCAATCCATTATTGTAGAAATCTCGGGGAGCCACAGGCCTTTCACTCCAGCATTTAGTTTAGTAGATTAGAAACACAGAAGATGGGATTCAGACGAAGAAAATACACTGCAGAAACATGAATATTCACATTGAGTGACAATAACAGATCAATACTGTTCGTCGCCTGCTGCCCAAAAAATGCATCGCTTCTGAGGCTTTTGTCGCCGCTTAGCAGCGCTCGACAGGCCGGCACGGTGGTTAACTTGTCACTTAGGCGTCGATGGGGGTGGATCGTGCCCGACCAACACAGTGAAACCGTCTCATTGTGGAGTCCCGCGTCACCCGTGAGGCCGGGAGGCAGGACAGAACTGTATAACCCAAGCACAGTGGTGCAATCTCGGCTCACTGCAACCTCTGCCTCCAGATTCAATTCTGCCTCAGTCTCCGGTAGCTGGGACTACAGCTATGCAGCTACCACAACCGGCTAATTTTTGTATTTTAGTAGAGACGAAGTTTCACCGTGTTGGCCAGGCTGGTCTCAAACTCCTGACCCCTTTGGTGGGTGATCCACCTCATCGGCCTCCAAGATGGGATTACAGGCATAAGCCACCGTGTCTCGGCCCATCCTGAAACAAAACGCTTCTTAAATTATTTGGCAGCAAAGTAAACTGATGTATTTTGGGCAGCAAAGTCACTTGAACTGATGTGAGTCTATTTATAATATCCACCAATGTGAATATTCACAGCCTCACGGAAGATGTTTTTCTTAAAGAGTACTAGATTACATAATATACAAAGAGTATTTGAATTACAGTAATTCTTTCAAAAACTAAAAAAAATGCTGAATTTTGAAACACATGTGGCCCCCAGGATTTAATAATGGATTGAAGATCTATCAGTTATGTCCTTTGGGGATGGTGTGAGGATTGAGATAATTTTTTTTTTTTTTTTTTTTTTTAAGACGGAGTCTCGCTCTGTAGCCCAGGCTGGAATGCACTGGCAATCTCAGCTCACTGCAACCTCCGCCTCCTGGGTTCAAGCGATTCTCCCGCCTCAGCCTCCCAAGTAGCTGGGATTAAAGACGCACACCATCATGCCAGGCTAATTTTTGTATTTTTGATAGAGACGGGGTTTCGCCAGGTTGGCCAGGCTGGTTTAGAACTCCTGACCTCAGGTGATCCGCCTGCCTCAGCCTCGCAAATTGTTGGGATTATGGCCGAATGTTTTTTAAACCACGGCGGGAGCGAAGGCCAGGCCCAGAATAAAAGATGACAGGGTGGGAAGGAGGAAGCAGAAGGTGATATGAGAGCATGTGCTAGGGTTCAGCCATGAGGCTGAAGTAGACTGTTAGGAGAGCGTCTTCCGCGGCCGCTGAAGTTGATGCTTAATTCCGAGGAAACGACGAGGGATCCTTGTAAAGTAACGAGATACTTGATTCTTAGAAAGATTTGTAGGAAGCCGGGCGCGGTGGCTCACGCCTGTAATCCCAGCACTTTGGGAGGCCGAGGCGGGCGGATCACGAGGTCAGGAGTTCAAGACCAGCCTGGCCAACATGGTGAAATCCCGTCTCTACTAAAAATACAAAAAAAAAAAAAAAAAAAAAAAA